ATCCATGAAATCCAGACCCAATAACAAGTCAAATAGCTCAAGTTCACGCGTAAGGAGCAGCTATAATTAGTTAGATAGAAGCAGTATATGGGATTATACATTTAGTAAGTAAACGTTTTACTCCACTCACGTTTGCATGAATTGTACACAAAACACAGAACTTACCTGTCGATATATCGATTACGAATTCTGTCAGAATGAAGAAATTGGGAGAGAGACCCCCACAATTGTCCGATGTTCGAATAATTCATCCAGACTTTCTTCGATATTTATATGAAATGTGAGTACAAAGCTTCCTCAAATTCGACACAAATAAATGATTATGTTTGTATTATTGTCTCTAACCGATCTGATTTAGACCACATCTCATTGGTATTTCATTCATTTGCTATTGTCCGTATTTTTTGTTTAGTTGCACACGTATATTATGTATATTTTTTCAAGGTACTTAGAAAAAGACGTTCCGATGCCAACCAAAGCGCTGACGACAATTGTCTTGTCCCTACACGAATGTGACTACATACGAATACACGGTCCGGTGGTAAATGCAGAAAGCGTACAATACTATACAGAAGTGAACTCCCGCGTCGGGCAGTTGCTGAAAAGCGATCTAATGGAGGAAAAACTTTTAGAATATATGGAAAGAGAAAAATTGCTCGTACGGTTGTGGTAGAACTCAATTCATTTCATAATCGCTGGCTTCGCGTTCTTGGCCTACGCTCTGAACCAGATATTTCGACTTATACAGCTGGTAACACACATATATATATATAGACATTCAGAGACGTTGGAAATGTACATACAAGTATTTTTGTCTATACTTGTGATGGAGTTGTAACATGTGTTAGATGTAAGAGATAGAGCATATATTGATAACAGTTTGTCACAATGTGTGTATAAATGAATACCTTATTGCCTCATATATACTGTTGTAATTATATGTATTTGTATTTAATATGTTGTATTTTATTGTCAATTCAGTAAAGCATAAAATACGTTGAAGTCACTACACAGTGTGACCGTTATCAAATCACGGTAACTCAAGATTGTAACTCAAGTTTGAGAGTCATCAACGTCAAATAATGGGCAGTGTGTAAGCATGATCTTTGATCGCGATTGGATAAAAGATGGCCGACTGGCAGCCATCTTGTTATTTGATAATAAAGTATTGTGAATGTGTTTTGTCATTATTTTTATTCATCTGTAGTACATATATTATTCATGTTAGGGTACATGTTCATGAGAATTTGTTTTACAATCGAATAAAATACAGACGACTATTGGCCATCTTGCTTTTCGGCCATACTATTATATCTCCAAGACTTTCATTTCATTTCATATTTAGCACATGCATCATGTATGTTGGAATACATGTATATGTCTATTCATAATCACATCAATGCTGGTCAACTGGCAACCATCATAATTTTGTTGGTTTTTATTGAAAGTTGGTACACACATTATACGTGTTGAGATACATAACATCTACAGGACAATTTGTTTCGCGATCTGATCCTAAAATAACCCAATGGTAGCCATCTTGTTTTTTACTAAAATGTAGCTTCGACATGTTTTTTCATCTAGGATACACGTGAAAATTAGTTTCACAACCAGTTTAAAGATGGCCAACGCAGCCATTTTCATTTTCGGCCATACTAAAGTTATCTCGTTCACCTATGTTTCATTGTCATTGCTATTTATGGCATATGTTATATGGTAGATCATAGTCAATTAATTGTGTGATTCAATTACTGTCTGGCTTGTACATATGCATAATGATTCGTTCATATTTTTTCATTATTATACACGCCTATGTATATTTGTTTCCAATAATTATAATTAATTTTTCATATACAAAAAATCAAAATAATAAAAAGTATCACCATAAAAAATAAGCTTTCTAAACTCTGGATACAAGTTTGAATACAAATATAAGATTTTTTTAAAATAAATTGAGCTCCGTGCTCGTAAGCGAAGTCAATCAAATAGATTTTAGTAAACGTGGATAGGCTACCTGGAAGACATCATGGTCCAGATGCACCTAGAATTACGGCCAGCGAGTTTGTCCTTGCACGGATGTGAGTACTAGGAGCATAGCTCTGAAACATGTATATCATTTACATCACCATGATGTATCAAAACTCGTATCATTCGTCAGGCCACGTTGGTGTTTCATCTCAATTTTCGTTTTTAAAAATGTCTCACATTGAATGTTATTGATAACACCTCAGACTACTGTAGTAATCTGAGATAACGCCCGCTACAAGAACTCACCGCCATCCCACAATGCACTACCAGCGTAATGCACTACCTACCATTATGATCTGGGCGCATATTAGTGTTCGAGTAGAGTGATACAACAGTCGCAACAACTGGGACACTAGCAAAATCGACGGTATTTGGTGTGAATGAAATCTAAATAAAGAACTTTGTATGAAGCCCCATGTAACGTTCGAACAATCTGTATTCAGATTTTATTCATGACACGGAATTGAAAGAATATTCTAAGCTCGGAATTAATTAAATAGATATGTTCAATATCACAATGAACATTGGTGTCGTTCGTCGTTGGTGTTTGATAGTTATTTTTTTTATTTTAAACCGACTTTTTTGAGACCGTTCCTCGATAACTGTCCTTCCACGGCGCGCCGAATGTTGCAAACTCGTTTATATTTTATATTAGTATTTAACAAAAAACAAAAGAAAACCTTTTTCCCAACAGAACATGTAAGAATGTGGTAATATTTGTGCCTTGAATATATTTCTGTATTCTGTCGAAATTGTAGTAATTTATTATTTTATTTGTTATGTATTCATTCAAATATTTATTGCAGGATATAAAATGGAAAATTTCGTACATCCCATATTAAAAACAACAACAATATATATAAACATATATATATATATAAACAAACAAACTAAGAGAAAAAACAAATATATAACAATATTTGACTTATAAATTCATTGTTCGAGCGTGCATGTAGCTGTGGCGAACAGAACATAAATGCGTGTTAGAAGATGAAAACACTGCAACGATCCTATTATCACTTTTAGTTAGACGCGTATAGAGTGAAAAAAAAACACGTTTCGTCTAAGAGCATGAGCGTCAAATATAGGAATGCTGGTGGACACAAATGAGATGACTAATGAGATCAACAGCTTTACATCGTTCTTTAGTCAAGATGTTCAAACAAATTCGCTACGAATTTCAGATAACTGGCTGCAATCTGTTTGGACTGCAAGCCGCTTTTAAATCTTTCTATCATGGCTGATCAGGTAGCAAGATTCACGATCCCTATTCTCTAGAAATTGTCTAAACACATGGGCCGTTTTTTTTACGGATAACAGGATTAAAAATGTTCATTCTCTGTAAAGATTACATTGTGACCTCATTTTTTTATATTAATTTTCGCGACATCCCGATTGCATGAATCATAATAATGAAAGTACGTCGAACATGACAAATAATCGACGAAGTACTATCCGAAACAGAAAACAAACATTCTAACGTATGTGGCGTACTTCACTTGTAAACGTTATTGCAAATTTTAAAAAATGTAAGGCGCAGCGATGCTGAGAAACCATCTCACCAATAAAGCATACTTGTATCCTCGGGGGGGGGGGGGGGGGCTACATCACAAGACGTTCCACGTTGCTACGACGCGCACCACTGTACATGCATTTCTATGGGCTTCGTGCGCGCTGCTGTGGAACGCTGGTCGAGCCGGTGAAAATTCGAGAAAACAACACAAACTCAACTTTGAAGTAATCCCAAACAACCAAATTTATATATGTTACACACGTAGGGCTAATCTTGTTACACTGTTCAGATGAGTCTCAACAATCATCCCAAAGTACCGTTTTCTGCGAGTTTTGGGCCTTTGTTTTCACCGCCGCGGGTTGCCAGGCGGTGAAAATGCCCGGATGTCCGCCCCGAGGATTAGATTCATGGACAGCGCCGCCTGTTTAGAATTTAGACGAGCGCTCTCTTCGGTGTGGCCAAACATATACAACATGGCGGCTGCACATGACTGTCGTCTGCTGAGTAAAGTTCAAGATAAATAGCCCAAGACATACTTACGATACGCTTGGGTGACTATTCGTATGTAGTGATGGACAGTTTTCTCAACAGGTAGGAAGTTGGGAGTAGTGATTTGTTGTTTGTACGAAATCACTAGATTACCGAGTTCATTTATATTCTGTACACCATTAGGGACTCGACAACTTTATTATTTGTAATCACGGCTGTCTTGAATTGGAAAATGGGCGTTCTATAATTTCTGTTGTTATATTCCGTCACCTGGTTACGGCGTGTTACATGCAACTAAAGAATCGACAAATCCGAATATGCACGCAAATTCATAACAACAGTTCGGTTGGCGCCAACACATATCACCAATTCAAGACAGCCGTGATACATTTAAATCCTGGTCACTGATGGCGATGGCACGCAGATGTGCAGTATAAGTAACCGTGATTTAACTAGTATATTACTTACAGTGTCGGGGTTAACACTTACAGCAGTCACGGTATCACACATTTGTTGCTCACGAGAGTTGAATATTAGTCATTAGTCATCGTTCGGAGGAAGTCCCAGCTGCACTTCTATAGCTCACTTGGTTTCGCTGTCGGTTATTTTGTTCATCGTGGTGTTAACGCGAAACCATGGAGCTACAGTTCCATCCTATGCGAGTTACCCTATTTTACCGAACTGAAATCAGGTCGGGCCGTAACAGCCATTTTTTTTTCATTATTTTTGCCTCAAGTTTCTACTTTTCTACTGTCGATGGGTCCCGAAAC